AGATTTGAACAGTGTTGGCTGAATTTCAGGCAAACAGATAAATACACAACTGAAATACAAATATGGAAACTGTTTTGTGATCTAAGTACCCCTTTCAGACAGCATAGCCAGGCTGATGATTTCCATTGTCTCCAATACAGTTAGGTCACAGACTCCCCTCAGCCCGCTGACTAGTCAGTAATGGAGCATGAACGCATTGATGAAGCCCTACCGCAAGGGTTAATATAATTTTCCTCCCAGTTGTTGTTTTAACACAGACCCAACACAATGACAAGCTGAAATCTATGGTTTCCTATTCACACCAACAAGCTCCAGTCGTGTGCTGTGGATGCATTCAATAGCAGCGCAATGCCCTACAACACATCGCAGCACGCTCCAACATGCGTTAATGAAAGAAAAATATAAGTATTTTGCCTCAGGTATACACCCCAAAAAATGCACACCAACAACGCGTTAAAAAAACCTCAACAACATTTAGCACATGTCAATGCATCCTAAATGCAATGCATGTGGAATGAACGCAGTCTAAATGACATTTCACATTAAGGCTAAGCTATTCTATGTGCAATGCAACAAGTGATTTGCTGGAGACACTGCATAACAAATACCAGAATTTCAGATGTTTAAGACATCTAGGTCTTAGGAGCCTGACTCAGTGAACTTCCCACCCCTGCTCTACTGCTCATGTGTATGATGCTATAGGGTTCAGTGATCTTCATTTCCTCCTCTGCTCCGTGTAATAGATAAGGCACAAGGATGCAGCATTTATTAAAAAGGCAGTTGACCTCTTTGCCTTTAATGTAATTTAGCCTTAGTGCAATGGAATAAATGAAGGAAATCCAAACATACATTGTCACAAATATGCTCAGAGAACTGGAACTGAAAATCTAGGGGCCTGATTCACTAAGGGTGCAAGCTCTCTAGCTTTCTATTTCGGACAATATACATATGCAATATCATTCTCTGATTTACTAAATGTGAACAGGCTCCCACAGAAGACATGTGCAATAATTCCCATCCCTGCACCCAGATTCTTACACATCCCAGTAATTGTAACATTCAGTGTCCTTACTCACAGGAACAGGTATGCTGAGGTTTTGGAACTGAAAGGAAATTATCTTGCAATGTTTACAACTGAAGTTGTAATGTTGGATAATTGTAATGAAAGAAAAAGAAAACTTTACCTGTAGTCCATTTAAAACTTTTAGGGCCTATTCATACTATAGTGTTGCACTAAATGCACAGGATGCGCTGCACCCCATTCACTAAGTGCACTGGTGTGTTGAATTGATTTTCAATGGCACCCCCAACACACTCTTAGCGGAAGTGCATTGCATGTGCATTGTGTTTCTGTGCAGTAAAAAAACAAACACCTGTAATGCATGCATGGGATCTGTGCATTTAATGCATGTTATCACATGCTAGGTGCACTGCATTGCCATTTGTTCTCATTGGCACCCCAGGAACCTCTCGGCAGACGTGCATTGCAGTGCTGCACAATACATTGTATTTCCCTGCAAGGTAAAAAAAAGTAATGCATGCACTACATTTTTCTCACTGCATGGCAGCCAAAAACATGAATGGCAACACACCAGTGCACCTAGCATGTGGCACAAGGCTATAGTTTAAATAGGCCCTCAAGTTTAAAAGGCCTGCCTGTGAGCAAAGCTACAATATGTCTGCTATTACATTTATTAGCCAGAAAAGCTACTTTTTTTTTTTGAGCCCCTCTCTGATTTAGTTTCACTTTTGTATTGAGGCCTCACTTTCTCTGCATAGCTCACTGCCATTCCACTATCCAGTGAAATAGCTTCAGTGTACAGGATGGAAGGTGGTGTAAATTAACTATTAGGTCAGGAGAAGTCAGGCCCCAGTATCAAAGTGAAATTAAATCAGAGAGGGGCACAAAAGAGACTTTTGTAGCTAATAGTAGTAACAGCAGCTAGCATGTAGTGCTGGAAATTACTCAGAATCAAATATTGTTTACTTAAAGTAGATCACTAGCCAAAACAATTCAACAGACATGAACAGAAGGCAGTCACAGCACACTGATGTCAGCACACAATAGTCCATTTATTACAAACGTTTATCAAAGCACGTCTCCTTCTGGGCCCTCACATCATATCTAGAGACTATTTCCTTGTTGATTTTTGGTTAGAGGATTTTTCTGCTGTCTGCGTGTCCATTTTGGATATTTACCCTCACTTCATGTTGCTCTTTCATTATTTGTTCAAAAACCCCATTAATAGAAAACCATGTAAGGTACCATTGCTGACCTTGTGAAAAAACAGTTTTTTGTGCACTATAAAAAAGAAATTTAAGTGGTATTCTTTCCGAATTTTTGCTTAGCCCACCACTAGTAGGGATGACATTTTGGTTTGGGCCAACCATGAGTTTGACCTGAACCCAGCTTGTTTGCTGAATGAGCGAACCAGATGTGGATGGGTTGCCCATCCGCTCAAACCTCAGGCTGCTGCAGCCAGAAATGATTCATATTGTGGTAGAGTCACCACCTCCACTAAATCACCCGTTCCTCTCCCACTCAGAGGCTTGTTTCACATTTTAAACAAGCCAATGGGTATCTCAGGTAACATTATCGACCCAATGTGGTCATGACCATTCTTGGTCAATGCCGTCACCCAGCATATCCAGCCAGCTTGTTGACATTGAGAATCCAGCTGGAGAGCTGCCATTAGCCACGGGAGAAGATCATTGTGACATGGATCGTTGAGTCCATGGATCATTGGGACGCCATTTATCGTGATTGACGTTGGCTCTACATCAGGGACAAAGTTAATTTTTTTTAAATAAAGGACCTTTTTCACAGTGTTTGTGTGTTTTTTCCTATGTACCCCTTATTTA